GAGCTGGCCTGCCCAATGCTGCGGTGAAAATCCCCCCTGTAGGTCAACTAGCAGGTCCCATGCCCCGCCAAAAGGCACAGGGCTATGGCTGGGAAGCAGTGCAGGGTCCTGCTTTGGAGCAAATGTCTCTGTAACCCCAGGCAAAGCTTTTTTAACCCATTTTTGCATCGTTTCTCCCTGGGAAGCCTCAAGGGGCTGTGGTGCATCCACAGGACAAGCCACACAGGTCACTAGTAAGAAGGCATGTTTTAGCTTAAAAAGATGCTAAGTAGCTAGAAGGGAGGCTGGGGCCACCTGCCTAGGTTGTTTTGGGAGGAAAGGAGCAGGCGGAGTGTGCAAAGCGGCGGATGTTTGCGTGGCAGATGAAAGGCTTCGCTCAGAAGTAGGTCAGATCACGAGGGCCCGCCGAGCGGCGGCGGGAATGGTCTCAGTCCGCCCGGATCGGCAGTCGGAGCCCGGCAGGGGCGATAATGGAGATCCGGCACCTCCCGGGAGGAATTAGCAAGTAAAAGAGCTGCAGGAGTGGAGCGGGAGGGGGACACCAGTTCACAGAAGTCAAAGCACTTGCTGAATGCTTCAGCGTTTCTGCCGGCTGAGACACGCCTCCCCGCTACGCAGCGCGGAGCCCGCCGCGGCGCCGGCGGTTGGGCCCATCCAGAGATGTTTGCTGCGGCGTCTGCTGCCTGCACGTGCTGCCAGCCCAGCTGGGGGCATGCGGGGAGCTGGCAGGGGCGAAGGAAGAGGAAGGTGTGGGAAGGCATCCCACAGGGCAGGGAGGAATGAGGAGCCCCTGAGGCAGATGTGAGAGGGAAGCTGGGCTCTTCTGGATGGGAAGGAGCCTTTCCCAGGTACCCTCCCTGGGCCTGGGAATGTTCCTGCCTCTGCATGGCATTTGCCGAGCCCCCAATCCATCCCCTTCAGCTCTGTGAGGATGCCTCTACACAGCATGGGGACGGTGTGGGCTGGCAGCTTAGGGACATCAGTGTCCATCTCCCTTATCTCTCCCAGTACCTTCCCCTCTTCCTCTTCATGAAACCTCAGGGAGTTCAACAAGGCCAAGGGCAAGGTCCTGCCCAGGGGTCGGGGCAATCCCCAGCACAAACACAGGCTGGGGGAGGAGGGGATGAAGAGCAGCCCCGAGGAGAAGGACTTAGGGGTGTTAGTGGATGGAAAACTGTGAGCCACCAACATGCAGTCGCAGCCCAAAAGGCCCCCGTGTGCTGGGCTGCACCCAGAGCAGGGTGGGCAGCAGGGTGAGGGGGGGGATTGTCCCCCTCTGCTCCGCTCTGTGAGACCCCCCTGCAGGGCTGGGTCCAGCTCTGGGGCACCAACAGCAGAAGGACGCGGACCTGCTCCAGTGGGGCCAGAGGAGGCCACAGAGATGCTCAGGGGGCTGGAGCACCCCCTGTGAGGGCAGGCTGAGAGAGTTGGGGGGTTCAGCTGGAGAAGAGAAGGCTCCGGGGAGACCTTAGAGCGGCCCCCCAGGGCTGAAAGGGGCTGCAGGAAAAGGGGGGAGGGACTCTGGATCAGGGGATGTGGGGATAGGAGAAGGAGTAATGGTTTTAAACTGACAGGGAAGATTTAAATTGGATCTAAGGAAGAAATTCTTCCCTGTGAGGGGGGTGAGGCCCTGGCACAGGTTGCCCAGAGAAGCTGTGGCTGCCCCCTCCCTGGAAGGGTTCAAGGCCAGGTTGGACGGGGCTTTGGGCAACCTGGGCTGGTGGAAGGTGGCTCTACCTGGGGCAGGAGGGTGGAACTAGGTCCCTTCCAGCCCAAACCATTTTATGATTCATGCCTGATCTTTCCCCCAAGCTTGCCATCCCCGCTCACCGGCATGATAGCGGGTTGAAATAAAATAGCAGGTGCTTCTCCTCCTGATGCCATCCCCTTGACCTTCTCCCCTTCTGCCTTTCTCCCAGGCTGGCTGAGGGACAGAAAGGACTGAAAGTGGAGAACAAAGCCTTCTTCTCCAGACTGACTTTCTTCAACGTCTCCGAGCAGGACTACGGCAACTACACCTGCGTAGCCTCTAACCAACTAGGAAACACCAACGCCAGCATGATCCTCTACGGTGAGTAGGGCCGAGGGAGCCAGCCGGGGAGGGGACACAGCTTAACGGTGAGACTGCCGACATGTAAGACACAGGATGGATCTCTCTCTCTTTTTGTCTTTTGGGGGAGAGGTGCATTTGCTTCTGATCCTTTCTGCCCTGGTGCCGTGGGGTGGAGGCCATGGTGAGCCCAAGGAAAACTTCCAAACCTATCTCCTGATTTGGGTGCCACATCTGCCACTGTTCCAAGGTGTTCGGCACTGTTTGGGATCTGCTGTCGATGCAAAGTTAGGACTTGGCTGTGGGTTTCCATCTTCTTGCTCTGATGAATACCTAGGAGAATCTCTGTTTGACAGCATCCTCCCACATTGAACGATGGCATTCAGGGTCATGGTGGCAAACCTGTGGGATTATGTCACAGGATGCTGCATAGTGCACCCAGTTGCCACCTGAGATTAAACAGCCCCATGGCTCCACCACCTCCCAGGTCATTTTTTGCTCCTGCCAAGCAGATATTCCTCCTGATGGTGCCAGTGGGAGGTGGGAAGGCGCAGAGGGGTGAGGAGGGGGAGCAGCTTTGTACCCTCACCCAGGGCCTGTTTTCTCTGTGTGTTAGAGCTGGACTGAGCGTGATGCATCCATCTGACACTGCTCGTGGCTGGGAAGGGCTGTAATTGCTCAACACAATTGTCAAGCTTCTTTAGGTGGTGGCAGAGCCAGAGCTGTGCTCCCCAGATCCCTCTCATGGCCACTGAGAGCCAAAGGCGGCCAGCAGACCTTGTCCCTGGCCACTGGCACAGGGATATTTCCCTGCCAGGGATATGGGGCAGTCAGTCCTCATTGCTGAAGCGTATGGGAAGAGCAGGGCATGGGGACATCTGTCCTCTCCTGATGTCACACTGATGTTGTCCTCCTCCCCCTGACAGTCCCACCTCATGGTGACCACTGACCATGGGTGACATTAATACCAGCCCACAGAGCAGAGGTTGGTATTAATGGCCACTGAGAGCATTTGATGCAAAAACTCTGATTTCCTATGGCCTTGAGCCATCCGGGTATTGCAAACCCTTTCCCAACATATCCAAAGGATTTAATTAAACCCACAGAGAGCATGTGGGAAACCCCCTCTTCTGTAGGAGAGATGGGGCTGGAGGGCAGCAGGGTCCCGGTGGGTCCAAATGTGGGGGCTTGAGTGGCTTGTAGGTGTGTGATGGTTACAAGAAATAAAAGGAAAACCCAGTAAAAGGAAGGAAGCATTGTGGGGTAGGAGAAAGGGTGTCCCTGGAAATCTGGTCTCTTTGCTGCTGTCCTCCTGCATATCTTTGCAGAAGGCAATGCCCATCTCGTGTCTTCCTTCCATTGCCGTTGTACACGCGTGGGAAGCTTTTCTGGTTCAGCACGGGTGGGTGCAGGGACCAGCCAGGCAGGGGCTCGGTAGGCCCTTCTGTGGTGTTTGTCACCCTTTTGCAATGACCATGCAACGTGTGTGTCACCCTCCCCCTTTTTTTCCTCATGGATAGTTTTGTTCTCCCTGGAAGAGGGACAGTGTATTAGCAACCAGCTGCCATCATCCCGGGCACCTCTATCGTCCTGAGCATCTCCCATGCCGGTGTCTTTGCAAAGTCATAAATAATCCATCATCATGTAATTTTTCTCTTCCATTGTTTTCCCCCTGAGCGCACAAGCTCAAGCAGCGTCTGCCGGGTGAGTTGCAAAGCTCTGCGCTGCGAAGCATCCTGTCCCTGGCTGTTCTGCCTTGTCTTTTCCTCACATCTTGTTCCTGGATGTCTAGAGGGGGAGCGGAGGGGAAGATGAGCCTTCCTCACCCCTAGGTCCCTCAGTGGGGTGGCTCAGGGCTGGGAGGCTGGGTGCTGAGTGGTGTTGGGTTGGTTAGCATGGTGAGCAGGGTGTGTCGAGACCCTGGGAAGCAATATTTGCTTCTCATTATCCTCAGGGAGGACCTGGATGTGGTTCAGGGGAGCCCCAGACCAGAAGAGCAGAGGATGCCAGGCTTTCCCGTGCTCCCCAAACGTGGGGTTGGCATTGCAGGAAGGGCTCATCCTCACCCAACACTGGTACTGACACTTAATCCCATCTTGGATGCTCAACTCCGTGCCCACAGCCCCAGTGTAGAGCTAACTTTGGATGTTAATGAGCCTAACAACCATTTGTTCCCCTCAAAAGTCCATGCTGTAAGTGATGAACATTAGCGTCTTCACCTGCTCAATAAGCCATAGCGTTGCCTAGGAACTGTCTCATCAGAGATCTCCACTGGGCTTCCTGGTGTCCCCAGTAACCCCATTTTTTTAGGGAGATGGACACCTCTGGCACTGCAGAGCCGCCCCAGCCCAGGTCTGTCCTTAGGGTGGCTGTGCCAAGCCCCCAGCAAAGTCTGGACTACATGATACATCCTTAGCCTTGATACTGTAGGTTGATGGGGTTAAAATCTTCAGTGGTGTGGCATCCGCAGATGCAGGGTGGTTGAAAAGCCCCCCACGTTGAAGACAACTTCTCCCTGCTGACAGCTTTGAGAGCAACGGTCTGTATAACGCGCGCCGTCACAGCAGAGTCGGGCAGGATGCACTGAAGCCTCCTGCCGAAGTCTCAGCCTATTTCATGATCCCCTTAGCTTTGTCGGTTTGTCTGTGACTCCCATCAGGGAACGAAATTGGAGTCCTTTGACCAGCTGTAATTTCCATAAAGCCACACTGATTTAATGATCCTTTCAGTCTTTATTAATTGAGTCCCTTCAGGGGATGATGGCTCCCCAGGCCGCCCTAACCTGCCATGGACCTGAGGGGACCATGACACTGCTGTCTCCTGGTGCAGGGGTCCCTGGCACTGCCAGAAACAACCCCCACCCCATAATTAGCAGCAATGAGGTCAGCCCCATGCGCCACTATCGAGCGTCATAGGGCCGAGCTCACTGGTCCCTAAGCAACGGCACCTTCGGTCTGGAGATTAATGGTCTTTATTTATTGTAATGAAAAACAAGAGAGAAGTTGCACGCCATGGATGTGCTACCTACGCCATGAGAAACGTCTCACCTGTGAGGTTTTGGGGACAATTTTATGAGTCTCCCCGTTTCCCTGAAGCTGAGTGGGTGTTTTGGAGTTTTCCCCACTCCCCAGATGGACATTTAATCTGTGTAGGTACCATGACGTAAGCCTTTCCGGGGCTGTGTGACAGAGGCTAATGTAGCGTACATCTTTTAATCCTTTTTTTAATCTAATTTTTCAGGGAGGTCAACTGGTGCTTTATTTAACACGTAGCACTTGTTATTATAGGCCTGCCGCCTCATTCAGCGGCTCATTTGGTGCTGTCTGTAACGTGATGGAGTGCTTGGTGGAACCACATAATTTTCTGGAGTTGGGGAAGAGAAAAGCCCTCCGCTTGTCCCCAGTTATGTAGTCCCTGTCGCTTCCCAGAAGCTGGTGTTGGGCGATAAACCAATTTGGGATTTTGCAAGAGGGATGGGCTCTGAATCTGTGCCAGAGGGGAACAGGAGAAGCATGGGGGAGAGCTGAACCCCCAGAATCCCCAAAATCCCAGCCCCTGAGGTTTGCTTTTTACTCAGGGTGCAACCACAGACTTTGCCAGGGCCTGCCCCAGGTCTGGGGTCCCGCAGGCAGCTCGTCTCAGCTGGTGCAGTACTCTTCATACACAGGGGGACCGTGGCCCCAGAGAGTGGGGTGCGATTTGGGCAGTAGCATCACACGTGCTACCCCACCCACTTGTTTGCCCCAGGTCAAGGGCAGGCTGAGCAAAGCGTCTCGAGCCTGCGCTTTCCATTGCCCTTTTGCCTTAACTTTCGCTTGTTCTTTAATTTTTAGAAGAGACAACTACTGCTCTGACACCCTGGAAAGGTCAGTAATTTGGGGACCCCTGCAACACCAGTGCTCCCCCCACTCCATTTCCCCATGGGCCCCTCTGGCTCCCACCCCAAGTCCATCCCAGTGGGAGCCACAGCACCCGCTGCCTCAATCTCCTGCCCTGCCACCCCACCGCTCCCGCTGGTGTAGCAATGAATTTAGGGCTTTCTCGCTGTTGTCTAGCTGCCCTCCCATCCTGACTCCTCCCTGCCAGCCTACCGTGTCCGTCTGATCATGGTCTGTGCCCTCTGCATGCCTTGTGCCCCCGTCGTGGTCCTGTGCTCCCTCCCCATTGCCGTGTCACCAGAGCTTTCCCTATGTTGCTGTGTAAATGGTCTTTGTGGCAGGTCCTTCCTCCTACGGGGTGCTTCTAGTGCCTTTTTCCAAGCTGTGGTAGGGGAGGAGAGGCATCCAGTCCTCTTCCCGGCATTATTCATGGCCAGGGCAACACAATCTAGCTGGCCAGGTGGCTTGGGGTGTCATCTTGATTTTGGGGCTCCGTAGCCAGGTGGCTTCATTTGTGATGCATTGAGGACACACCTCGATTACTGGGTTCTGTACAAAAGGGCCATTGAATGACTCGGACGTGTCCAGAGAAGGGCAATGGAGCTGGGGCAGGGTCTGGAGCACAGGTCTGCTGGGGAGCGGCTGGGGGAACTGGGGGGGTTCAGTCTGGAGAAGAGGAGGCTGAGGGGAGACCTCCTGGCCCTCTACAGCTACCTGACAGGAGGGTGCAGAGAGGGGGGATGAGTCTCTGGAGCCAAGGAGCCAGTGCCAGGCCCCGAGGGAATGGCCTCAAGCTGCCCAGGGCAGGATCAGGCTGGCTCTGAGGAAGGATTTCTGTGCAGAAGGGGCTGTTGGGTGTTGGAATGGGCTGCCCAGGGCAGGGGGGAGTCCCCGGGATCCCTGGAGGGGTTGAAGAGTTGGGCTGAGCCAGCGCTGAGGGATCTGGTGGAGTTGGGAACGGTCAGGGTGAGGGTCATGGTTGGACTGGAGGAGCTTCAAGGGCTTTTCCAACCAAGATGAGTCTGGGATTCTGTGAGAGGTCAGCCCTTGGGATGATTTGTACATGGGGGTAGCGCAGAGACAATTGCATCTCCAGATTGGACCTTAGACACAGTTTCCCGGCCATGCCAGGATTTGGGGCTAAGTGGGAAGCATTGGGAGGTGTCTGTGAGTATGCTGGAAGAGTGCAACTGGCGGGAGACCAAATGATTAGTGGTTCTTAGTGCCTTAGTCAGGCTTTGAAGTGAGGGGACATGTCCCAGGATTTCAAAAGTGTATGTTGATCAGACCTCGTGGGCAGCCCCACTCCAGCAGGGCATCCTGGATGCCTTCTTGAGATCTTTTCCCAGCCTAGTGTTCCCCTGGGCCAAAACTATTTGGGTCAGGCACCTTCCACATCCTTTCACAGCTATGAGCTCTTCACCTCCAGTGATCCCCAAAGGCGTGGTTAGGCTTGTCTCTTCTTTGACCACCCAGTTCATCCCATCTCATTTTTCTTGAGATGGCCAGGCCCATGGGCAGAGGGTGTTATGGGTCGTGACCCCCCAAAACACCAAGTCTGGAGTATAGTGCTGCTGATGGAGTCTCTGCTGGGTGGTCAGGTGGGTATTGTGCCCCCCACCCAAGGGAGACAAGTGGGGAGCAATAGAGTGATCACCCCTGCTCTGGCTCGCTGAGGCTGGCAGAATGCAGTGTTGGGCAAAAAATATCGTCCCCCCTGTAAGTGTGGCTGGAAATGGACATATTTTGGACGAGGTTCATTGGTGGCGATGAGAAGGAGATGGGCTTGGGATGACGGGGTCATGTCCCAAAGACCAGGGTTGGTGGGGACAGGGATAGCTGGCACCGTGCTCTCAAGGACTGGGTGGCAAATGGGGGTACCTGGGGGGCACGAGACAATGCCACCATGTGTAATAGCACCGGGGGCGCCAAATGGTGTGGTTTTGTTGGTTTTATTTCTTTTTTTGTGTTTGATGGGATTTGTTGGCTTTGTGACTAACTGTGTGGGTGTTTTCCTCTCCCTTCCCACAGGCCCCGGCGCAGTGCACGACGGGAATAACGGCGCGTGGCGGCGAGGTGGCTGCATGTGGCTGCTGGCCCTCCCCCTCGCCCAGCTCGCCCGCCAGTTTTGACCCGAGAGCCGGCCTGCGGAGTAGCGGTGGCGACGACCACGGCCAGCGAGCACAAGCAGAAAAGAGAGGAAGAAGAAGAAGAAGAAGTGTTCACCGTTTCCGAAAATAATCATAAGAATTGAGAGAGTATCCAGCCAGGCCACCTGGGGGAGGGGGAGAGAGGAAAAACATGCAAAAAAACCGCAACGGGAATTTGGAAAGGAGAGAAAAAAAAAAAATCCAAGGCTTCCTGCTGAAGATGCAACGCGACTGAGTCTTTTTCTTTTCCCCCTATTTTTTTTTTTGGTCTCCCACCCCTTTTTCCCCCTGTTTTCACCGTTCTCTGCCGTGGGCCAGCGTGGAGGACGGGCAGGGCCGTTGGGGCGCGGCGCTTCCCC